GTATAAGGTGTTATTGTGTTCTTCATTAGGAGTTAATGATGATCAGGAACAGTATTACAAAGTGAAACACATGGTAACTCATCATTAGACAACTAAGAGTTAATGATAATCAGGAACAATATTATAAAGTGATATACATTAAAAATAAACCCCTAAAGAAATTATGTACTGTAGTACAAAAAATATTAATAAAGAAATTTTGAAAAAAGTAAGAGTAAATAAGCTGTTTGAGTCCTTTTTTATTTGTGAACAGTCCAAAATGTGAAAACATCCCTGAGTTAGCAAGCTATATTATTGAAGATAATATGCCCAAACAAAATGAAATCAAAATCTGTGATTACTACCGAAGGAGAAAGTCTGAGAGCTGAGACTGATCTGTAATGATATGTAATTACTGTCTGTTAGATAATGAATGAGGTGTTGCTGTTCTTCATTAAGAGTTAATGAAGAGCAAGAACAATATAAAGTGAAACACATGGTAACTCGTTATTAATGAACAAGGTGTTATTGTGTTCTTCATTAGGAATTAATGATGATCAGGAACAATATTATAAAGTGAAACACACGGTATCTCATAACTAATGAACTAGGAGATGATGATCAGGAACAGTATTATAAAGTGAAACACCTGGTAATTTATTATTAATGAACTAGGAGTTAATGACGATCAGGAACAGTATTATAAATTGAAACACATGGTAACTCACTATTAATGAACTAGGAGTTAATGATGATCAGGAACAGTATTATAAAATGAAATACAGGATTAAATGCTCTCCTTTCCCAGCACTTGGAAAAACCTCACAGGCACTCAACAGAAACACCAAAGCTATCATAATGAGAGTCCTGTGCAACTCTACTGTTAAATTTAAGTTTATTTAATTCAATAGAACTCTAGAATGTTTATTTTATGTGTGAGACTCTCTATATTTATACTCCTACAAAAAACAAACAAACAAAAAACAGGAGTGGTGAGACCAAGATAAGATTTTTCAGCATTTAAAAATAAAAAGAAAGAAGAGAAAAAATACTAACAAGGTTCCTTATCATTCATTATACATTATATATAGATGAATATTATAACATTTTGTAAAACTAGACAAAACTAGACATACATAGGCTGAAAATATTGTGAAATGTTATTATATGATAATATTAGTTCAATTCTGCATTATAACTTTGACGGTAGATTATTCCCTGTCCCATCTTCTCTAAAATCTATTTGGAATCTCTATCTAAGGTCAACTAAATATAAACCAAACAACATACATGCATTTTTATTATTAAATGAAAACGTTCCCATCTGCCCAGTTAAGCCATCACCACAATCCACTACTACTACTGATGATGATTATGATGATGATGATGATGATTATTATTATTATCATTATTATTATTATTTTGTACTAGTTGTAGTATAAACACATAGAGGTTTAAACATTTTAGAGTTCTGTTAAATTAAATAAACTTACATTTAACAGTAGAATTGCATGGGAATCTTCTGTTAAGCACAAACTAGCACAATGGACTCAGCACTAATGTAGAGACACAGTTAGCTGACTCGCTAACTAATCTGAGCTAAGTTGGTTCAGTCTTCTTCAGCGTCTGTTTTGTTACATTGTAACAGAATTATAAGCCCATGTTAGTGCTTTATTAAACCTAAAGCTGCTGCTGATGTTCTGTTATGCCTGCATGCTAGCTAGGTAGTTAATTTAGCTAACGTGAGCTAAGCAAAAAGGCAGTAAAACTTTGTGCCTCAGAAATGAAACAGAAAGATGCGTAATTAATGCAATAGCAAAACATACTGTGATCAGTCTCAGCTCTCAGACTTTCTCCTTCGGTAGTAATCACAGATTTTGATTTCATTTTGTTTGGGCATATTATCTTCAATAATATAGCTTGCTAACTCAGGGATATTTTCACATTTTGGACTGTTCACAAATAAAAAAGGACTCAAACAGCTTATTTACTCTTACTTTTTTCAAAATTTCTTTATTAATATTTTTTGTACTACAGTACATAATTTCTTTAGGGGTTTATTTTTAATGTATATCACTTTATAATATTGTTCCTGATTATCATTAACTCTTAGTTGTCTAATGATGAGTTACCATGTGTTTCACTTTGTAATACTGTTCCTGATCATCATTAACTCCTAATGAAGAACACAATAACACCTTATACATTAATAATGAGTTACCATGTGTGTCACTTTTTGTTCCTGATCACCATTAGCTCCTAATCAGGAACACCTCATTCATTATCTAACAGACAGTAATTACATAATCACTTGGTAACATTTAGAACCAAGTAAATTTGAAGGCAGGACACATACACAGTCAGATATTGCAGATGAGCCCCCTCTTCAACTGACCCTGCAGACAAATATGACATATCATCAACATATCTATACAAAGTAAACCATCACAATTACTAAAATTACTTCTTTTCTTTTCATAATCACGTGAGTATTACATAAATGAAGGCAAACTTCCAATGTTAACTAGTTTAAAGCTGCAGGTCAGTCGGTAAATGCCAACAATAACTTACTGAGGCTCACTGAACAAGGCAAAATGGCTAAATGCTAGCGGAGGTTCAAAGCTGGTCTACAAAAGCCAACAGGCTAATGGCAGCAGAGGCTATGGCTTACTTATAACAGCCAACTGGCTAAAGCTAACGGAGATTAAAGCTAGTGGAGGCGATAGCTTGCTTATAAGGGCCGTCAGGCTAAAGCTAGCGGAGGTTAAGGCTAGCGGGGTCTACGGTTTGTCCGTACGAGCTAACAGGCTAAAGCTAGCGGAGGTTAGGGCTAGCGGAGCACCAGCTTGTTCATAAGGAGTAACAGGCTAAAGCTAGCGGAGGTTAAGGCTAGCGGAGCTCCAGCTTGTTTATAAGGAGTAACAGGCTAAAGCTAGCGGAGGTTAAGGCTTGCGGAGCTCCAGCTTGTTTATAAGGAGCAACAGGCTAAAGCTAGCAGAGGTTAATGCTAGTGGAGCCTACAGTTTATCCATAAGGGCCGACAGGCTAAGGTTAGCAGTGCCTACAGCTTGTTTATAAGGGCAAACAGGACACTTATTAGAGATTATAGCTATTATTCCTTTTAGCGTTAGCGATATGAACCTCACAGTCCCTTAAGCACTACCAATTTATCCACTTACTCTCTCCAAAAGCACACGGAACCACCACAAACTACTGTGAAGCTGAAATGTTTTAAAACTTGGTAAAAGAACAACCAGGCAATGAGTGTCCGCAATTTTCAAAGTTGTATGTCATGTACTTCACAAAATTGTACTATTATTTACACATATTCAATGTTTCTCACCATCAAACAACCTCTTCCTATTATAGGTCCCTTCTAACTGAAAATATAGTGCTTTTGTGAACTTATTTCATTTCCCTACCTGAGACAGGATATATAAAGAAAGGAGACGGTGAGACAGTGGTTTTCTGTTCAAGCTCCCAATTGCATTTGAGAGGTTTTCCCTGAACTGCTCCAAACCACAAACTGGCGTCTGCCACTGCTACAGCACCCACTAATGGAGGTTCTTCTTACCCATACATTAACATAAAGAAAATGTCATGTCAAATAAAGCACATATACATTTACATATAAAAAAAAATAACAATTGTGAATACACCTACAGTGTGTCACATTTGCTCGAGATATTGATTGTACCTCAGACATTAGAAAGACACAGAAGAGAGGAATTTGTGTGTTTTAGAGGGGACATTTTTTTAAGTGAATGATTTTTTCAAGTAATAATTCTGATAATTTTAATCCTAACTAATTATTATGCTGTATGGCTCACTCTGGGCAGCTCTTCCTGTGTGTGTGTGTGTGTGCCTGCCTGTGCGACCCAGACTATGTGGTGTGTGACAAGCAGGCCTGATTGTGTTAAAGGCTAGGGGCTGGAGAAGCACACACATACCTACACACACACACACACACACACACACACAGATCCTGTTTGTACTATATACTATTAAGAGAGGAGAAACACATATGTAGAGAGACTCAGTTGTAACCACATTAATAGTTGATTTATTTCCATATTACTATGCTATACTGTGTTGGTTCTCTGTCTCTGTGTGTGCAGGCCTCTGTGGGTACATACAAGGCCTCGCTGTATGTGCTTGGGCTTTTAGCTACATACGTTTCAACCAGGCCTGGGAAGCACTGCTCAGTCCCATCTTGAACACAAATTGTAACTATGATAGGGACACTTGGCCATTGTTTAGGAGCCTTGGCCTGCACACATACACACAGACCTAGTTTGGACCATAGGTTTTATTTTTTACCCATTTCACGTGCAAATGTAAATTTTAACACTTGCTTGTTTAGTCACAATTAGGAATAAACTGTTTAGTCGTAACTAAGGGATAATCGAGAGATTCATATTTCTTTGTACTCTCTTGATCAATGATAAAGGGAAAAGTGGGATATTTGTATTGATGTGATGTAATCAAGAGCATAGCCCCTTAAACTTATAGAAAGTGGTATAACCAAATGCAATAGCTTAAGGCCAGTGATTATTAATTTAGAAAATTGGTATGGTTATGAATTAAAATGAAGAAAAATAAAGGTGTTTGTCACAGAAGGCCGAGGCTAACTAAAGAAACAAAGTGTATGTAAAAAGTACAAAATTGTAACTACCATAATAGAACTCTGTATAGTCTGAGTTGCATGTGATGGTAAGACAGATCAGGTGAGATGAGGTAATGGGGGGTGGGAACCCCCTCCAGATTACGCCCCCAGGCAACTTGTATTAGTTTAAGTTTTTTTATTTTTTATTATTATTTTTTTTTAATTAGATGCATGCTGTTTTTCCATGACATTTTACTGCAGTCAAGCACTGTAAGTTTAAGAAGTTGTCTGACCTCGTGAGGCACTTCATCATACAGAATTGTGAGGATGAATTTCCACAGGATTTCTCACATACATTTCCATCAAAGAATATGCTCAAGAAATATGCTTGAGAAATGCTTTTATTGAGAGGAAATTGTGGTGAATGTTTTGTTTTTTGTCAAATGCAGATTAAACTTTCCCAATAACAGTCTTGATCCAGGGCAGAAATTCTGATATTTCGGTAAAAATCTTTGGCTTCGTGGGTGCATCACACTTGTCCTTCTGACTGAAGGAAGCAATGCCCACAGCAGTGTCCCCACACACCAAAGGACCTCCAGAGTCTCCCTGTTAACACACAAATGAAACACTTTACTATCCTCACAGTTTTTCAGAATTGATTTTATTTCATTTAGTTTATTATTCAGTGTTGGGCCAACACAATAATCCAGACTGACCATATTAATCATCCTGTATGTTCTCATACCTTGCACGATCCTCCAGGATGAGGTGCACATATCATCCTTGGGGTCAGACGGTTCTCCCAGAGTTTATTACATTCTGTTTCGTCCACAATAGTAATATTGGTCTCCACAAGACGCTTGCTACCATGTTTAGAGGATCCTGTTCTTCCCCAGCCAGCTACACTGCAGACTGAGTTGGCCTTGATGTCCTCATTTGTTTTAGGGATGGAGATCCAGTTAACAGTTTTGCTCTGTTTGGCTTTCCCACGTAGCTGTGACAAGAGAGATATTAGCTTAATTATCAATAAGACTGCACAGTGTAATGTGAAGCTCCACTCCTCCACAGTAACCCAGATTACACCCAGCTGGCCTACACACTTCATTTTCACACAGTTAGCTGACATTAGACGCTATTTATGTTTCCTTACTGAACACTTGACGTTGACTTTGTAAAATAAATTCTTTGATTTAAATTATATTAATGTTTGTAGACCAAAAGTTCGCCAGCTAGAATGCTAGATACTGTGCTTTGACTCAATAGTAGCTCTTATAACTGCACTGAAAGGCCTTCACATTATTTGTACTTAAATCATGATAATGTTACTTAATTTCTTGTTAAATTGTATTATTTTTATGAGAAGAACAAAATGAGAAGTTATAAACGTATTTTTACAGGTTATTCACTACTGTGCAAAAGTCAGAGATCAGTGTCTGGTCATTATGACCATTAAGTACAAGTTATTAATTTTTCATAAGATATTTCAGAGAACATCAGTTTAAAACATGCCCAAAAGATGCAAAGAAAACTGGACTCCTAACAACAGTGCAAGACCTGGTAGACCACCAAAACAGATCAGATAAGCAGCACTTAAAGGTTTCAGCTTTGAGAAAGAAAGGAGAAAATCAAGCCCAAATCCAGCTTTGGAACTGAAAAAAAATCAGGTATGTCATTCCTTCTTTCCACTGTGAGAAGACAGCTCAAATCAACTTGAAAAAAATAGTGGTTTAAAATTCCTTTGAAATTTGTACTAGAACACCAAAACTAGACACCTGAGATGTCTACCGGACTGAAGTGCCTAATTTTTTAACTGTGAGAAGTGGAAAATGCAATCAACTTCTAAGACTGAACTTTAATGGTTTACGTTAGAGACTTGTTTGAAAAAATGAAAGCAAATCTGCTATAAAGAGGAGTTATAATCATACTTTCTGCATGTATTTAGTCTCAAAACTCACCTCAGTCTGAATTACAGTTTGATTCATGTTCATAAAATGTACAAACCAAAAAAAGTTTGGACAGTATGTGAAATGCAAATGAAAACATTAAGCAGTGATTAATAAATTCTGTTTGATCTGCATTAAATTGAAGACCTTTTTGTTTGTTTGTTTTTTTCATGAATATAATTCTGTAACCCTTTATTTGGAGTGGTCCTTTGAAGATGATTAATAAACTCTTAACAGATTATGAGTAACACATCAACAACATATCAGTGAAGTAGCAGTAGTGCAGCATCTGAATACACTGAAGTAAATATCTTGTACTTGTTACTTCCATTACACAAAACCTAACCCTCACCCTGGCCCTAATCCTAACCCTAACCTTAACCTTAACCCAAAACCTAATCCTAACCCTCATATGTTTCTGACATGTTACTGAGAGTCTGCTGAGTGTCTGTTTCATCTGAAAAGGACCACTCAAAATACCACCTCAACACCTTTTGGGGACTGGATACAAAATTATTTTCAGTTTTGAAAGCAGAATTTTTTGCCATTCTTCCATTATACAAGTCTTCAGCTGGTCTAAGTGAAACTCACCAGAGTGGCTCAGGTACGGCAGCAGAGCAGCAAGCAGGAGCAGAGAGATGAGAGTCATGATTCTGTTGGGAGAGAGTGTGATCTCCTCGAAGAAGATGAGAAGTACAGAGAATAAGAAGAAAAAAGAAGGGGCTTTGTTGTGGTTTGATCTGTGTCTTTTCAACAGAAATGAGAAGCAGTGGGAAGCTTACAGACCTCAGTGACCATAGTAAACCGCTCTATTTGTTACATGGTTCAGAGTCTCAACTTAGCCCCTTACAATCCCAGGCTTATTACATAATAAGGCTTTATTGTTATTATTATTTATTTTATTTTTTTTCCAGTAACTACGGGGACTTCAATGCAAACAGAAAGAATTTTATGATGTATCTCTGATGTCCTTTACTCACATTCACATCTTTTACAAGACAATGTTCAAAAAGGCTTTTATGATGTCATTAGAAAAGTCCTTTTTGTCAAACGCAGATTGATTTTTGTTATTGCTCACAATTGATCAAATGAATTTATCATAACTAGAAACGTGCATTTTCTGAAGGAAACAGAATGGTTGTGCAGCTTCAATTTTTCAAAGCCACAGCATTACCCAATACACTTTTAATATCTGCATAGTATTTAGTTTTAAGAGCCACACAGAGTTTTGCATAAATTCCTAATTTGTATGATAATGAAAACTTGCTGTGGCCAATTTTAACACCCCTTATTGCCAACATTATATTTGTTCATTGTTTAAAATAACCACATTATAGAATGTAACACTTTATTAAAGAAATTTTCATTGTTTTCAGTGCTGTGGGGATGTGTGACAGGTCGGAGAGACGGAGGAGAACCGCAGGCCACTGGTACTGCATCAGAGGGTCACTCAAGAGCAGTGCAGCTCATAGAACCAAACCTGCTCTATTCCCAGAGAAAGGCTGAGCCTCATCTCATTAATGCAGATCTTGAAGAATGGCGGAGCAATATAAAACAGTTATTACAACATCCAAAGTGTAATAAATATGCAACGACAACCAGTGTTCATACTGCATGTTCACAGTATGTACATATATTTGTACAAAATTGCTTGGCAACACTTTATTTGAGGGATTTTGGAAATTAATTAAGGTCTTATTCTTTGGTCAGTAAAGACCAAATTAAATGCTTCAAAATGGCATATTCACTATAATTTAAGGTTTATTCATTGTAAAATATATTAGTACATAATTAGTGGTATATTATGTGAAAATCACTAATACTTGCATTATTAATTGTAATGAAGCTCAATGAAGGCTGTGTTAAGCCCTTATCATGCAAATTATTGAGCATGAGTTATCATCTAAATTCACATCTTATAAATGTAAAATGGGCAGCATTTGGAGTTTATTGCAGTTGAGTTAATAGAAGTTTAATAAGTCACTAATACTTAAAGATGTGTCTCATATTAAAAAGTGCAGTTTAGTTATGACTAATTAGAAATTAAAAAAAATTGTATCACAAATTTACAAGTTTAATCACAAAGTTAATGCCTATTTATTAGCATTTTGATAATACATTATCATTAATTTGCATAACAATGAGTGTGTTTACATGGACTTAATAATCTGATCATAATTGGGTTTCTGCAGTTACCTGATTATTCAGATGGTCATGTAAACAGCATAATCTGATTTCTTAGATCAGACCTATGTCTAGAAATCTGACTAAGAAATCCAATAAAGAGAGCTGGATTTTAGCTCAGTAGTCAGATTTCTCAGTGCATTTAAACTCTTACTCTGATTTCTTTCAGATTTCTCAGTCTGCACATGTGCGAAAATAAACGGCGGTACCAGAAACAAGCAAGCAGCGTTGCTGCGAGACGGAGCAAAACACTTTTGGAGCAACGCTGAAACCAACCACATGCCTGATGGATGAAGGATTTAAATATTCTTCATCTTCTAGATGATGTATGTTAATAATTTCAGGTAAAGTCGTGTGATGTTTTTTTTTAAAAAAAAAAAAGATGCACCATGAAGTTTGAGTTTTACATTACGTTTACATCACGTCTTCAAAAAGTCTGGATAATTGGAAAACTTCAGGCCTACATGAGTCAGAGTAATCGGATTTCTGCTTTGCAAGCAGCCAATAAACTCAAAGAAGTTACATAAAAGTAATGTAAAACTCAAACTTCATGCTGCGGCTTGAACAAATAAACTTAAAAACCACTATACCTGAAAATATGAACATACATCATCTAGAAGATGAAGTATATTTAAATCTATCATTTTGTCAAGCATGTAGTTGGTTTCAGTGTCACTCCAAAAGTGTTTAGTTGCCATCTCACGGCAATGCTGCTCACTTATTTCCAGTACCGCCATCTGTTTTCACACATGCGCAGACTAGAAATCTGAAAGAAATCAGAGTAAGAGTTTACATGCACTGCATGTTTACATTACATGCATTTCTAGACCTTATTCCAATCTAAGAAATGGTAGTGTGCTGTTTGCATGACCATTTAAATAATCAAACTGGAGAAATCCGATTATGATTGGATTATTGAGTGCATGTAAACGCACTCACTGATTTTGCCCTCCCTTGTTTGTTTCTTAATTCTTTTGTTTTTTGGGACACCTAATTCTTTGTCTTTGATTGGTGTCCACTCTCTGCTTTTATATTAAATCCTTTCTCTATCCCCAGTCCACTGTCTGTCCCTGGCCCAACCTCAGAGATTTCTCCAGCCCTAACTTTAGAGATTGCACCACCTCTAACCTCAGAGATTGCACCAGCCCTAACTTTAGAGATTGCACCAGCCCTGACTTTAAGGACTGCTCCTGCCTAAGTATTGAATAAAAATCATTGTGTTCACAGTTTTTGCTAGTACCAAATGTAGCACTACTTGTTCTTTTTTCTCAGTTCCAACTTATGAGATATTTGAATAAAAAATATCGTGACATATTGTGTGTTGTGAAAATGTCTTGAAGTATCACAATATTATATTTGTGCCATCGTCCACCTCTACTCCAGCCCTACATTTAGAGACCGCACCAGCCCTAGCCATGGCTTTGGGCCTACCAGACAGCAAACCTGCCCAACACCAGAACTAAATCATGATTCAAGCATCTGAAGATGGGGGGTACAGGTGAGTTTGTCCATGCAACTGGGTAAAAACACATGAAGTAAGAAATCTGCAGTAGATCTGTACAGCAGAAGACCTTTCTATTTTTTCCAAGAAGTCACAATTAGGAGAAAGTCAACAGGAGAGCTACATTTATAGCAAATCACCAAATATCTGCCCATTTAGGAAATCTATCTACTGATTTATCTTCCCACAACATACAGCTGATCCCAAAAATGCGGCCGATATAAGAAGAGCATACAAATCCTCCTGTATTAGTTGAAATAGCCTTTTATACCAAGTGTGCTCGACACTTTTTTCCTATTTGTCACTATAAAAATGAACAAAATAGTGGGGTTAGTGGGGCATGATGAATGGTTGGTGGGGCATTGC